AAGTTTGTATATTCTTTTTCGTTTGACCAACTTATTCTTCCAATCTTGCTGGTCTATTGCCAAAGATCATCTGTGTGCAACCATTTCTAACTTCATTCGAACTAGTAGAATGCCCTGAGGGGTTAATCACACTGTGTTAACTCTGATTTCAAATAAGAAAACTCGACGTGTGTTGGCCTATAGCTTTGTGTGTTGTGATTTACAAATTAATTACCAAAGTTCTTGCAAATCGGCTGAAACTTGTGCCGAGTGATTGCATTAATACCTCCTAGTCTGCTTTTGTCCTTGGGATGCAAATCCTTAATAATGTAATTATTGCCAATGAATGCTTGCGTTTTCTTAATAGTAAAAGGAAAGGGAACAAATGTTTCATGACTCTACAATTAGACATGTCTAAAGCGTATGATTTTATAATAGGGTAGAGTGAAATTTCATTTAACCCATATGCCACAGCATTGGATGTCAGTTGTTAGATTGTTGTCTATTATTGAGAAATTGACTGAACTATCATTTTGTCATTTGTATGTTCTGGAATTTGCAAGCTTGTTTTAGAATACAAATTGCAGGCTCATTGGACAGCTGAATTGCATTTGGGTAAATATTTGAAGGCAAATCCCACTTCGGGTCTTTACTATAAAGCATCTCCTTCTTTACAGTTGGAAGCTTTTTGTGATGCGAATTAGGGAAGTTGTGCACTTACTAGGAGATCTTTGACTGGGTACTGCATTTTTCTTGGCTAGACTTTAATCTCTTGGAAAACTAAAAAGCAGAAAACGATATCACGTTCTTCAGTTGAAGTAGAGTACTAGTCAATGGCTACTACGGTGTGTGAATTACGATGGCTTTCATTGTTGGCCAAGGACTTATCCATTCATGTTTCTTTTCCTATGCCTCTTTGGTGTGAGAGTAGGGTCATCCTACAGATCACCGCGAACCTCGTTGTTTCGCGAGCGCACTAAGCACCTTGATATTAATTGTCACATTGTGCGCAACAAATACAAGGATGGTTTTATTTTGCCAATGCACTTATAAACACATGTTGCGATGTCGTTTCTTTTCTATTTTAATTAGATATCTCGCACGTGTCGTATTGTGATTGGCCACTATGGCTTTTGTGAGATGATTAAAAAACGTGAGCCGTGGGGCTCATCACTATAACTAACTCTAAGAGCTTGATGGTCCATCTTCAATGGCAATTTGACATTTCAGGGTTCCAAAAACGATGGTTTACACATGCCCCAAATCAACGAAAATATTCGACATGCCCCGCAATCTCCTTACACAGCAACTTTGTCTCGCCTGCCATTTTCAAGCTTCTGGATATGATGAGCCCCGTCAACTTATGCGTAGAGCTCGGCTTGAACAACTCGACCTCTTCCGCCCCTTTCCCCGTCAAAAGAGCTGTCCTCGCGGGCAAAACATTCTCCCACCAAAACTCACGTAAGACCCCACGCATCAACTCCCAATACCCACGATCTCTACACACACGGAATATCGTGCTCCCATTTGGAGTCCAACAGTACAGATCCGCCCAATCCCTATCCATCACCTCCATCTGCCCTTGCACCTGAGGCATGTAATAAAACGGCACGTTCGACCATGGCATCATGGTCTGGGGCCTACCTTTATTATACGGGCATTTCACTTCCAGAATCCCACCTCCCGGGAAGCACCCGAGGAGCCCGTCGGGCGAGGCCCCGATCCAGTTGAGCCCCTCGTCTGAGTGGACAGCAAAGCCCAACGAGCCCACGTCTCGGCCTGTTATGCTCTTGTACCGCTCGATCGCCACTGCCTCATTGAGAACACCCCACTCCATGGCGCCCCGCTTGGTGGGGCCCACACCTGAGTCCGAGTCGGAAGGAGGGAAAACTTTCTCGTGCCAGAGCTCGTAGCGGCGGTTTCCTTTCCAGAGGCCGAGGGCTGTGCTGAAGGTGCTTGTTGTTAGCTTGTCCTTGCGGAGGGCGAACCACTCATCTGACCGTTGTGGGGCGTCTGATGAGGTTAGGCAGG